AGGAATGCATGCAAAGAGCATTAGATGAACTGGGCCTGTTTGCAGTGTTGCCAGGTAGTTCACTCAGAAGATTCTTTCAAATTTAGCAAGAGAAATATATAGCGACACGTAAATGAAGACTAACAAAATCAGTAAAAATTAGCATTGTCCGAAAACTAGCGTCACTGAAGGTGGCTTCACAAAGGGCAATTTGATTTAAAATAAAAAGTCCCTAAAAACGTTACAAACAGCACATCAAATTTAGAATGTGTTGCTGTGAAGGTATAGTCTTATGGTTGGTATAAGCTGGCAGAAGCACAGGCTACTTCCGGTGAAACTGAAAATAATTTTGAAGAGAATTTGGTCAGTTTTCCGTTGGCATTGGTATGGGCATGAGAAGGATGGTGGCGTAAACAATCCATCTCTGTAATACAGCTACAGATTTGGTTGCTGGAAACCAAACACACAACAGCAGCCTCATTCTTTGTTAGGTGTGGAGGGAAAGGCGAGAAGACAAGCTGGAATTTTTTTTGTAGATTTTACTCCTGGGTTCTTTTGAACTCGAGCAGCTCATGCAGCATCCACACTTCAGAGTAATGTCAGCTTCCTCAAGCTTTGAAAAGACTTTCTGAGAGGAAGGAAATGTATTGCAATTAGTTTATTTTTTGACCTTCTACAGCATGGGAATTTGGGCCAAATTTAACCCAAAAGCCTAATTATCCGTACTGTTGATATTCTAAGCTAAAACATGCTACTCACTGAGTGTTCTGATAAGTGTTGTGTAGTCTAGAGTGCCTTGACCTATAAAGATTGAAGAGTAATTGAGTGTTCATTTAATGCCAGGAATTGCAAAGGAATGATAATGTATTTCATACAAAACTTTAGTGTCAGAAAGGTTTTCCCAGAATTTTAAATTGATCACAAAAGTTATTAATTATTCGGAAGAAGGGTTGATCCTAGTACTTAAGTAGGTTTTGCTGATAAAACAAATGATCATATGTTTCTGGTGGGAAACTGATGGGATTATTTTTTCCCCTACTTTTCTTCATTCTTCAGTACATGGATATTTTAAAAATATGATCATCACAGGGATGGATATTTGGGGCAATTTTTGATAGTTGTGTGATTTTTATATGGATTTTGCAGGCAAAAATGTATCTTGGATGTCAAGTGCCAGTTATATGAATAAAGAGCTGTTTGCCTTTTCATTTGCAAAAGTATTTGCATCATTTAAGAGGATCTTTGGAAGATGCTCTTTTAAGTTTTTTACTAAACATAGCTTCCTGATCATGACTTTTTAAAGAACTGGTAAATTCACCATCATCCAAGAAAATATAAATTTCAGAGAAAGTAATTACGCTTGTGAATTTTTAGGCAACTCTAGCTGAATATAATTTAAACTACTAAATAGGCTTTTATTGTAATTTGTTTATTTTATTTTAAAGGATAATAACTCTATTTTTTTAAAAAAAAATCTTTTAAACACATGGAAAAAATGGTTTAAACTGTGTGTAGCAATCCATGTATTTTTGATAAAGTTTGTGTTAAGTGAACTTGTGACAAAGTTCAGTTTAATTTTTCACAGTCCTTGCACACTAACTGTGTGAGCAAGCTAACGAGGCAAGTTTTAGGCAATTAACCTTAACATCTAACATTTAGCAATGTGTGTTTTAACCTCCTTCTGGTTTCAGACAAAAATATAAAAACATTATTGTTTTCCAAATTGCTACTTGATTATAGTTTTGTGAGGGGAATTCAACTGACATGCATCTATTTCTGTTAAAATTATTTGTTCACTGTTTGCATTATTGTCAGTGATCTTTGTTCTGCCTGCTGTCAAACCAGATAATTTCTCTTTTCGCTTTAGGATAATTTGAATCGGGTACATCACTCAGCCCCCAATGGAAAATTGCAAACAAGGTTACCAAAGAAAAACACACTTTCACCTGAGAAAAACAGGCATAACTTAGCAACAAAGAACTACGAGCAGCCTACAATAGCTTCTAAATCACGTTCTCCATCTCCATATACAAAAAGACGAATGTGTGAGCTATCAGAAGAAGCCAGACAACGACTGGCCCATTTAAACCTTGGACCTTTTGCATTCAGAAGAGAAACTGATAAACCTCCGTTTGTAGTTAGACGTGTACGTATTCTCTAAAAAGTGCTTTCAACTTAAGCTTAGAACATTGTTTTTCACTAAATATTACTGCAAAAATTCATGCAGTTTTTAGTTTAGATGAATATTTTTCACTCCTTAACAATCTGCCACATAATGTTTTAAATGTGAAATTAACTAAAATAAACATTCTTCTATCAGCATTAGTAACAGACAAAGATCAAATTCTTTTTATGAATATACTGGTTAAATTCTCTAAGGCCCCGTTTCTTTTCATCTAGCGTACTAGACAGGATAATAGGTGTATAAATTCAAATTGAAAGTAATTGATATTAGTATTAAAAGTGCCGGAGTAAGACTTTAAAGAAAGACTGTCTAGTCACGTTATGAAAACTATACTGCCGCTCTTTCAACTTTTGTTATGCTGGCATTCTGTGATCTTTGAAATGCTTCCTTTACTAAGAGCTACATCCCTTACACTTTGACTCAGAGTCCATAAGTATCTTGAATTTAGCACCTGCGTAAGGACTTGTTGCTAGCCGTATGTAAACAATTGTTCTGGAATGAGGTACTTATTTAAAGTAAGTCTTTTTAAGTACTTTACTGCTTAGGGGACAGAATGCCCAGCCTCTTGGAGGCTGATCATGTTCTCATATATGTTTATGTTCTCTCTTACTATTTCTTACGATTGCAGTAATTCTCTATTTGTGAAGCCTCCCTTGAATTTGTAGGGGCAGAGATGGAATTGTTTATCTTTTCGCTATGACATTATGATTTGTCTACAAATTCGGACACTTATCACAGCCACTGAGATAGTTTAGCATTTAATTAATTTGCTCCTCACATTATTTCATTTTTATAGTTTATGTACAAATGAATTAGTAATAACTTCTCAAATTCTAGAATTCTCTTCCAAGTTTTCTTCTGCTCTTTGGTACCTTTTAGAAATTCAGATTAGCCTTAATAAGCCATTAATCATTCATTAACCAACAGTTAATCTCTGTCTCACAGATATTTTTTCTTTTAACTCCTGTTAATCAATTCTTATGTTTTCTGGTCTATAGGTGAATTTCACAGTTTAAGTACTGCATCTTTAAACACTGATTATTGATTTTGATTGCTTGATTATATTTGTACAAAAAGGAGAAAGCTTGTCCCTTATTGTACCGGATCCCAAACGTCATGGCTTTTTCTAGATTTGGTGAATGTTCTTTTTAGGGCATTTTTACTGTTGAGATCTGTTTTGGCCTGGAGATTTTGTGTTACATTAAGATTAAAATTAGATTATGTTAAAATTTAACTTTTTAATTAGGAAAAGCAGCACTTGATGAGATCTTAACTCTTTGGAGTAAATATGTGAGATACCTAGAACCGTTTAAAAAATTACAGACATTAAAGATGAAGGAGAAATTATCAGCTTTTTTTTCTTTTAACAATATGACATCGAAAATTGTCTAGACCTTTCTAGCAGTGCTTTTGTTTAAGCATAGTAAAGCTAATATGAATGTAACACATGAACAAAATATTGTGAAAATAGTTTTAAATAGTATTTAAATAAGAATAAATTATTTTAGAAAGGAGATGGTCTTATGGAGGAAAACGGGGATTAAAAAAAAAGTATAGAGATTGAAAAGGGGTAATACAGAGTGCTTTAAAAGCATTTTTGCTTCAGGTTGAACAACCAAGTCCTGGTATTGAACTTCACACCTGGTGTCCTCCTCGAGAAAGTACAGTGGAAGCCTGGTCCAAGGTAAATCATGGTTAGTATTTTCTACTATATCTCCCTTTAATTCTTTTATTTCCTGCAGTAGTTTGGTGGAGGTGTTTTGAAAAACAGTCCGTAACGGTGAAGAAGCTGTTCTTTCTTCCTAGGAATAGTGAGAATGCTGAGTAACCCCACTCCTTCCAAAGGAGGCTTTGGATGTTTCTTTACCTCACGAGACTCAGAACCTAGTTCTATATAATATGAAAGTAGGAACAGAAAACACCGAAGTCCAGCTAGGTGCTCTGTTTTCACTTTCACAGAATCACTCTACTTGTTTACATGAGTTGTTGGATGGTAGAACAAATCTACACCTTGATCTGGAAGTGGGTTGGTCAGGTTTGGAGTTTGTTCAACTCCAAAATTGATCATTTTGCAGTTTTTTTCCAGGGTTTTACTGCCTCCGAATGGATAATGTTTATTTCAGCGCTATTTGTGCATAGTGGATCAGTGACTTGGCTTTATTAGTGAGCATCCAGAACGTGCTTGCATATCCACTTGGATGTTCATTGGTATCAGTAAGTGAGGGTATTGTAAAAGGCATGGCAGCACAGATTTAAGAAGGTACCATAAAACTTGATTTTATTTCATATGTCTGGCAATATGAGGTTTTTAATGAGTCTCACCAGTATTTTTGTTATGTGTGCTCTGGCTTACTATGGTTGTGCCTCCTCGCTATTTATAAATAGTTATATAGCAAATCATTTTAAATTATTTATTTCGCATTTATTCTTTGTAATAGAACTGGATGTAGCATTTAAAAGGTTTCACATTCCCTTTGGAGTCATATATATGAAGCTGCAGTATCTGGATGATGTGAGAGACCTGTTATCACCTGGTACTGTTAGGTACTTATGAAATGGGTTGGTGGTCTCTGACCAGTAATTAAGACACTGAAAACTACTTTACTGCTAGTATCCTGAGGATTCACAGGTCACTTGGCTGTGTCTTGAGGCTTAACTGTAGCTTCTGAAAAACATAGATTCTTAGGATCAGAGATCTTACTACTGACAGTACAGTTTGTTCTTTTTTTGCTCTTTGCGCAGGTAGGTAATAGAGGGATGTCTTTACCTTGTCATGCAGCATAAAAGTACCTCTTATCTTGGGTCACAGTAGGAGGGTATTCAGTGCAGACTGATATAACCTATCAAGAAGCCAGACATGGTGTAGTGTCATTCCCCTAAGAGCGAAGTATATTTTGACATGGTAAAGTGTCCTAAACCGGTACAGACGTAATAGTTTCTCCATTGGCTTCATACTCATGTTTATGGGTCAGTGGTGATGGAAGAGAATGAAGAGGCGATAGGAGGAGGAAGAGGTGGTGGTAGGGAAGCTTGTTCAGAAAAGATTAGGAAGGTAGCGTAATGTAAATGAGAATTTTGGGGACTGGTAGAGCTTTACTTTATATTGATTTTAAGCAATTAATAGCTTAACAAATGTACTACTTGGCTCTGTACAAAAGGCAGTGCCTATACTGATGCATTATTGTAAACATTGTATTGCATTAAATATAAAGTCATTGTTCTCGACTGAAGAAAGTGCTGAAATATTACTGGGGCAGTTTAGAATAACAAAATGTATAACAATGATAAATTGCCCTAGTGCTGTTTGGAAGGAGAGGTAAGCTATTTTATAAAAGACTGCATAAAACTTAGGGAAGTAAAATTTTATTTTGAATTCATTCTGGGATGCACCTTTTCTTTTGTTCTTTTCTTTTTCTTTTCTTTTCTTTTTTTTCTCCTTTTCCAGATCCTTCTCTTCTTGGCAGCTACAGGCCCAAGAAAGCCAAAGTGAGTACCCTAAAGTGCCATTGTTTACGAATCATTTTTTGGGAAGCTCCGAGTAAGGAGGATTGTCCTGAGTAGTAGGTATTTTTGAACATTTATCCAGAAGAAGTATCTACTGGAGCATCAAAAACAAGACAAAAGGAAATTTTAAATCTGATATAACTTAGTCTAGCCCCGTTGACAGATGATTTACAAACAGAAATGTGAAACTTAGCAGGCTATAAAATATTCATTTCTGTAGTTACAGGACTTGCTTCTCCTTGGCATTAAGGCTTGTGACAGGGCTGTAGAAGATTTTTTAAAAGTAGTTTACGGTTACTTTCCCAATCATTTTCAGAGCACACTTAATTCTGGAAGAGTATGGTGAGAAGTCACTCGTATAAATGGCAAGCCAATGGCCTGTTATTTCCCATACTTGCTTTTTCAGATCTTAGCTGCTTGTGCACTAAGTGGATCTGAAGATTAATATCTGGATTTCCTTGGAGTTTTTTTTTTCTTTCCTCATTTAGATGTTTTTGCCTGTGTTTCTGAAGTACTGCAGATATTGGGGTTTTCAGTATTTAATTATTTTATGTATGCCCCTGTAGATTTCCTAATGACTGGTAAAAGCAATAATACAGGGCAGAGGAAGGAAGGGGAATTAAAAGGATAAACTTTGATACCCTTTAAACGCACTTTTATAAGGTTCTCAATTTTTACTACGTAGGGTTGTAGGTTGATGTACCATGTGAATTCATGTGCCACCTATGGATTGTTTCATGGTTTTAACTGAGAAATTGTACAGGAAATAGAAAATTTCTAGTATTTTTTTTTTCATAATGGCTATTTTAATTAAAATCTTTCTTTTTCCCCCTCTAAATGGACAAGTGAATATTAGCAGCAGTCATTGTTTGGAGCATGCAGATAGCTGAGCTTACAGAATGATTCATCCTCTTCCTGATGCCCCTAAGCACTGTAAATTCTGAAAAAGTCAAGACAGAGAAGAATATATGTTTTTGTTGCCAAAATACTATATAGCTTTAAACTAGCTGTAGTTAGCATTGTGTAATTTCAGAGGACCTGAGAACTGCTCACAGTGAAATGTAACTGTTAATGGGAAATCACTGTTGAATTTAATAAAACAGCTCTTATTTTCACTGGCTTTTGTCAAAGTTTGTCTGACCATCAGATTATGTTTGAATGGTCTTTAACTGTGTAACTAACATCAAATACCTCTTAAAAAGCTGTGGTGGGGTATATTTGCCATACATGACTGCAGCCTGGAAAGGGTTAATGAACATCCTGATTTGTTTCCCTGGTTTTGGGGCTTTGGGAAACACTGCCGTAAAAGTCCTCCTCCCAGGTAGAATGAGGTAACCCATGGAGACGTTTCAATGGTACAGGTTAAGAGGAGCTTTGAAAGGAGGAAAAGTGGAAACCTAGTATAGTGAAGGGTAAGTAGAAAATGAATAGGTGTCCCTGGGTTTTCACTGGAGCAAGGGCAAGTGATGGGAAACAGAAGTCTAAGGACAAGGGGTCCCAAGCTGAAGAGAGATCTGAGGTGTATGTCGTGTAGACTCTCAGGTATTGTTCTCAATCTCTGAGGGTCCTGGAGGTGGTGAACCTTTAAACTGTGCAGGCAGAGAAGGCAATTAAAAGGCTATTAACACTAGACTTTGCTATAGGATGGTGTGTCAGATACTAACGCAACCTGTTGGCACTTGTTGATTGAATTCATGGGTTCAGAAATGGTTTCTGGCGTTCTAGGCCAGGGCTCTTCTGAGAAAGGTCAGTATTGTTCCTCAGTACACAGATATTCTTGCATTTACGGGTAACCTGTATCCTTTTGATTTATAAAAATAAAAACCTGTAAAGTATACGTTTTCATATGCATAATCAACTTTAGCAAGGCTTACTTTTTTATACAGGTAAAATCTGCTCATGGGAAAGACTTTGATAGTTCTTCTGATGTCTGTAACGAGCATGTGATCTCGGGTCCACGAAACAGACAGTCCAGTTCTGCTGGTTCGTTAATGTGTTCGGCACCTTCGGCGTTTCATAAGCATTCCTTAAGTTCTGTGCTAAGTCGATCTTCTCTAAGGGAAAGGTAATGACTTGTTTTTGTTCTTTGTGGAGTTCTGGACTCATTAATGAGAGCAGATAATAGTATTTGCATGGCTGTAGGTTGTATGTTTGGAGATGTGCAGGCTGAAGAGACTGAGAATTTTTCCCCAACAACTGTGCTGTCATGTGTCTTGCCCTCTGGAGCTGTGTTTTTGATCACCTTCCCACTTAATGAGTGCAAGCCAGATAATTTGGCAATGAAAAGTGTGTTTGACATCTGTGTTGCTAACTCTCTGAAAAAATGAAGCCTCGGATTTCAAGCACCCAATGTCCATCACATGTCCAAAACAGAGAATACTTAAATGGCACCTCTATCAGAAGGGATAAACATAGATAGATTAAATATACGTTACAAGTAGACTATTCTGGAGGTATTTGGAAAATTTTTTCCTCCTGACTGTTGTTCAACCTAGTGTTTGTAAGCATATACTTGTGGCTATGCTGTAGTCAAGTGTGTGATTAGAGTTTGTAGCATGCTTGGATTAGCTTTAGTCTAGTCAGTGTATCATTTTTCAATCTCTTTGCTTTATGAGCATCCTAAGAAATTTTTCAGTTGGAGTGTGGGCCCCTGAAGCAATTCTGCTTACATTAATTGATATGTTTAGATTGGTTTTCTCAGTAGTCCTCCACTGATCCCAATGGGGTTGGGGTGGAGACAGCATCTAATATCCCTTAGTTCAGTGAATTTCAATCCATGGGCTAATATTTTAGGCAAGCCTAGCAGTTCCAGTGTCTCATGAGGGTGGGATGTAAGAAATGTCAAAAGAAGAAACAGATTTTCCATACCAAAGTCTTCCGACTCTCCAAGGAGAGTGAGTGTTCCCTACTTCTTGGTGAGTAGAATATGTCCGTGGTGCACGATGCTGCTACTGTACGTGCAGTGCAGTCAGTTTCTGGAGGGCTTTCTGGGATTAGAAAGGCTTAAACTTTGGTTACAAAACTGGACCTGAATAACCAAATACCTAACATAATTGGGAGAAGCTGAGCATTGAACTGATGGCCTGCCCTAAGTGCTGAAATGTTTTTTCTCCGAGACCTTGCTTGAAGATGTACTTTGGCTAGTTCATGTTCATTCCCGGCTCTTTCGTCCTTGATGCCATCAGTACCCCAGTTAATGAAAGCTCACAGGGTACATTTTATAGCCTCGGCACAGCCTAATGTGTAGCTGCTTTTTCAGAATAGAAAAATTGTCTTGGTTTTCTCTTGGAAAAAAAAAAAAACAGATGGCAGGTGGCGACTAAATTTTTAATACTCATAAAGATCAAGTTGGTGCTTCTTTTAATGTGTAGGCTCTTTTTCAAAAAAAAAAAATTTTTTTTGTTTTTCTTTGGAAAAAAAAAAAAAACAGATGGCAGGTGGCGACTAAATTTTTAATACTCATAAAGATCAAGTTGGTGCTTCTTTTAACATCTTCCTCTGCTTGAAAACTTGCTTGCTTGTTATGCTATGTAATATTTCTTGTGAACTGTAATGCGGAGATTAGGATGTATCTGGGGTTTGGAGGAGGTTTCTTTGTCATGTTTTCTACCTTCCCACTCTCTTCTGACATTGTCTGTGCATTAGTTACCCATGTCTAGGGAGAAGAGGTATTGTAACGGTCATTTATATCCTTCATTCTGTGGTATGAATCTCTTTTCAACCAGAGTGGTTTTTTTGCTTGCTTGCTTTCTTTTAAAATGGATTGTACTTAAAGCTGAC